ACTTAAACACCCCTACGGGCAGATCTTATATTAAAAGGCTGTTCCAGGGCTTTTGAGGCTTTGGTGGTTGTGAAATGGGGTAGAAATGTGGTCTGAGTGACTTCCCGGTGAGACTTCTGCTGTCCGCCTGCTGAATGTGGCACCGGCGTGACGGTGGCGTCCCTCAGGCCGCCCCCATGTGACCCCCGGCCATGTGACCCCCTCTGAATCATCGGTACACACACACACACACACACATGACACACAGCGTGCACAAAGCTGCGCATGACTGGATCTGAGCAGGAGCTGCTCCAAACCCCAGAAATTATTCATGATTCATCCTCCTGCTTCCATAAACTCACTAAGGGGATTTTTAAAGAATGTGTGTTTATTCTTAAACATTTAAACCAGATCAGATTTGATTTGAATAGTGTCATTAATTAATTGGGTTTATTTTTGATTTTTTAAATTTTGGATGAGAAAATTAATTTTATCTTTTTAAAAGTGGTTGTAAATAATCCAGGTTGTTTCAAATATGAAATATGAATAACATTTTTAAAAGTTTAACATAATATAAAATATAAATATTACGGCAAATAAATTCTTTTAAAAAATGAAAATATAATGTATCATAAACGTTATTCATAGTATAAATATAACAAAGATGAAGTAATACTAATATCTTAAATAAAATTCATATAAAATTATTAAAATAATACAATCTAGGAAAAAAAGTTTATCGTGGCAGATACACTACATTATTTTAAACATTTTAAACAAAAACATATATATTTAAGTAATTGAATAATAACTAGTAATGTCAAATAAATGTAATAATAAAGGTCCATTAGCCTACTATTATTATTGTTATTATCATTATTACACCCTTTGTTTGATCATCAGAAATAATCTTTATTAGTATTTTTTATTCAAAATGCTTTAATGCCAACAAATATGAATCTATTCTCCAATTTAAATCTAATACATATACAAACTATGCCTAAATATTTCTCTATTTTTTTTTTTTTTTATTTTTGTTTTTTTTTAGTCGTGAAGCTGGAAAACCTCCGAACGTGCTCCTCCATCTTTAGTTCTCCAGCTGCTCGCTTCTAAATGATCCTCAGGTCTCTTTTCCAAACCGACTC